ATGTTCTATTTCTGTTTAGAGCAGGGGAAACTCGTACGCTCCAGAAACTTCAGGGTTTTTGTTGTGCGGACTCCATGTGCCAATTTGACTCTGTAGTTCCTTTAATTCTGCAGATGCAGACTCCAGGGCTGGTAGCTTTGCCATGCCCCGACATGGTGAAATGAGCAAGACTGGTCGGTTTTGCTTCTGCTGTTTAAAAGCCTGTAGGGAAGCAGTGAGTCTGTTTCCATACTGCTGCCTCTGCATCTCCTCTCTTTCCTCAGCTGCCTGCCTCTGCCTGGGGAAACCGAGGCTGGGAGGGGGATACGGATTTAAAGTCCATTTTATTCCCATCCCAGCCATCCTTACAAACAGCGAGGAAGCTCCCAGGATAGGAGAAGGGGTGGGGAGGGTGGTGGTGGTGGTAGTAAAGTTCTTGGTGTTTCTAGATAGCTTCAAACTCCTTAAGAACCAATTAGTCAAAGACTGATCTAAGAGGAAGCCAACATGGAAATTTTAAGGGCAGCGGTATAGCAAAAATCTCCAGCATGATTCTTCTGCTCTGTACTGTAGTTGCCCTTTTGCAACCGTCTGACCTCCCACCTTGTCTGTTTACTACCCAGAAGTAGGTTGACTAGTCTTGTATCTAGACAATTTCATGGTCTAACTTGAGCAGGTCAGGTGGCCTGGTTATTACAATTCAGGATTTTCATCATTACTTATAATTAGTCCTTTTCTCCCCCTCATCAAGTACTCTGACTTGAGGCAGATAGTGGTAGGGAGGTAGTGAATGGCATATAAAGACTAACACTTTTCTTTTTTTTCTTTCCACAGAAAGAAATTCAAGCCATGAGCCAGTGCCATCACCCGAACATTGTATCTTACTACACATCATTTGTGGTGAAAGATGAGCTCTGGCTGGTGATGAAGTTACTTAGTGGAGGTGAGTGGTCCTAAGGTCAGATGCCCTGAAGAGTATGGGAAGAGGCTGGTGTAAACAGCTTTCTTTCTCTGCTGTACTGTACCCTTCTCTCCCGTTGTTTCCCCTTGCCCAAAGCTGAAGACTCTGAAATAATGGTTCAAAGAGTTCCCTTTGATTTTTCTCAAAGTTAAAGGGATACAATCAACATGAAAATACCGAGAGTTCAAACAGAAGTGCTGTCCGTTGCCAGTAGTACCCAAGACGACGGTAACTGAAAGGTTGGAGTTTAAAAATAAATTGCTTTCTATTTATTTGATAGTGCTTCATCTAGAAAGCAGGCTGGATATGCACCTTTGATTTCCCCTGCATAGTCACTTTTTCTGTGTTTCTCTCCCCTTTTGCTGTGCAAAAGACTTGCTCAAACATTTGAGAAGTGGAAAATGTGTGTTAAATCATAAAAACTGACAGGGAAATTTGGTGATGGGTATAGTTCCAGTTACCAAGTGAAGCTTTTGGAAATGGGTCCAGTTTAAAGGTGACTGTGCCTCCCAGGTCTTCCTGGATGTCAATGCAAAAAGTGGTATTGTTCCCATCAGTAAGCAAGCCTCAGCCCCTGGAGAAGCTTGACTTTTTCCTAGTCAATAGTTTCACCTTCTCTTGTCTCTCAACAAGTCTGCTGCTTGTTGGTGATAGGCTGTTGTTAACTGGCCAATACATTGATTTGACTTTCTTTATCTGTTGGCCTCCCTACTTAAGACCCCAAATCTCTGTGATCAGTAGAACAGCTCTTGCACAATGCAGGTGTTTGATCCCAGGTGGAAGGAGGCTTGTGGTATGGCCATGCAGTGAGCTTCTGTGCAGATGGATGCTTGATCTGCCTCATCTTTCACCATGCAAAGCTGGGTTCTTTTAGCTGTTTGTCCTCGAGCAATACTGGATGTGCTTCTAATCGTCCTCTTATTGGGCTCAGAAAAAGGTAACGTTTCTGCATCCCCGTTGCTCTAATATTAAGCATCTGTGTGTCAAGCAACTATACTTTTGGACTAGGATCTTGTTAGAATCCATTGCTATTGCCTAGGCTCCTACCCTGCCCAAATGCTATCTTCCTCTTGGGTCTGGAGGGCAATTCTGACTCCAGACGGTGATCTGATGTGATAGAGCAGTGCACTTTTATTAAATCATCGTGCTATCAGAGGACTCTGCTTTACTTTTTCAGTAGGGCAATAATTAAATCTGTAACAATATCACCAGGAAAGCATCCTGCTGCATCATTTGACTATATGGAAAAATCTGGCCAAACTTGCTTTTTCACAGAAGCTTCACAACAGTCACTCTGTGTGCGTCCTTGATAAAAGTTGCTGTAGAAAGTCATCACAGCGCTTTTCAGGAACTGAGTGTTATGCAGGGCTAATGTTGCGAACTTAAATGAGTTTAAGAATCTGCTAAATTTTCCTCTCCCTTATTAAGCGAGTGGCTGAGCATCAGCCATGCCCTCTGGGTTTAAATGCCTTATTTTCACCCTCTTCTTTTCAGACTACAGTGTGGATAAGCATCCCCCATTGGTTTACCATTCAGGATTCATACCACATACATAAGAAGCAGGGCCTACGTACCTTGAACACAAACCGACAGTGTAATGTAGAGCACAGACCTTGCTAGACTGAAAGTGCGAGCAGATGCCTCCGGGAATTGGTGAGAAACTAGGGAACTTTTCCTTCTTCTGTCACTTGCTCAAATCTACCCTTGCCCACTAAGTGCAGCTAGCTCATTGGTGGCAAGTTGTGCAGTTGGTTGTGGTTAAGTACTTACATTGCACAAACCACATTACACTTGATCCCACTAGATTAGGACTTGTGGTAGATTCAGACTAGGAGGTGGGTTTAGAGTCGAAGAATGGTGGTGGAGAAGCTTGCGTGTACTTGTGCGTGTATTTTACCCGTACCCTCGATTCTGGAGGAAGATTTAAGAATTGCTCTTAATGCTTGTTGTCCAGCAACAGCTACAAACATTTGAGTGCTGCACCAGCCAGAACTTTGTCTAGCACACTCATTTCTGCTTTCATGCCTCTTTCCCATCTACATTTTACAGACTGAAATGAGGAGAAGATCAGTCTTTGTTGCTTGCTCTGATGTGTCCTGGCTTTACCTTGGTAGCGCGGAGAACAAAAGACTCATGTTTATGAATGTTCTTTGAGTTGTTACAGCATTATAGAAATCAGTCACCAATGCTGTGCTGTACATCAGATCCCAACATTGTACTTCTCAAGTAGAGGCCTGTTTGTATAAAACCTTTTGTTTGTACCCGGTCTTCTAGGCTAGGGATATACCAGTTTATCTGTAACTTCTAAGTGATTGGAAACTGGTTCAAATCTGTAACACAACAGAAGTTCAGTGCACATCAGCCATTTTGAAAGCAGTTTAAACCAGTTTAAGGTAAACCTGGATGGACATAGTATCAGACTTTAACTGATTCAGGTTAAATCAGTTTATTGAACTTCTGTGCCAGATCCCCTCCAGGTTCAAGTTAACTCACAGTCCCCCAGCATCCCAGGATACTTTGCACCTCCCCCACAACCCCACCGTCCTCCAGGTGGGCAGGCTAGCCTTGGCCCAAGCTGTCTGCCCTGTCTTAGCAGGGAGGCGTGCTCTAGCGCCCCCCGGCTTCTGGCCTGGGCCATGTGCTTCAGGTATGTGGTTGCATTTCCAAAATCAAAAGTGTAAGTCTGTCCATTTGCTTCTCAGTTCAATCGACTCAGTTTAGGCTAACTTGTGAAGATTGAATGGATTCAGCCTGGAGCTTTTTTAACTGTCTGTACTTAGCTTTGTTGTGCAATCATATTGCTGAATGAAAAGGGTGATGTATGTGAGGCCATATGAGAAGATTTTTGTCTGAACTCTGATTTAAGTGCGTCTTAAAGTATATGTTACCTTTAATTTGGGCTTGAGCCAAAATCCAGGCAGACTGGAGTGGAAGCGTTGTTATGAAAAATGAGGGCCAGCAAGCGATGAGTCCAGGTGGCTTGTATTTAAGGGGTACAGAGACATTTTTTGTGCTCTTCTGAGTGGGCTGTAAATGTTTGGTTTGTCTGGTATTACACAGCAGTAGCAAGGAGGAGGTAAATTGGAAGGCAAGCTTTTCCCTGGATTTTCTTTGTTCCTCTTCTCTTTCAGAAATCAGATTGAACTTCTGTTTTTCCACAGTTTGCAAAGCCACCTCCTGTGGTGGCAAGGGGCTTTCTAACCTTCTGATTGAAGTGCCATTTTCTTTCTGTTTTAACAAACTTTGTCGTCTTGCTTTGAATTTGTGGTGGCAAACAAGTTCTCTCTGAAATATCATCTGCCTCAAATGACTTTTCTTTTGGATGGCGCCTTGGTTCCTCGATCCCAAAGGTAATAACTTATTAATTTTCCTGTTTGTCCTTAGTCTTGGAGGAGAAAATAAGGTAGACAAGACTTAGATTTTGCAGCAGGCTAAAGCCTTGGGGCAGTTTCATAAATTAAAGAAACAATGAAAGGGCAAAACCTAATTGTCCTCCCCTTTGGCTGGTCATCCACCGTGACATTCATTAATCGTGTGTATGTTCAAGTTGAAAATACATCTCAAAATGTGCCCAGTACGTATGTTATATAGCTTATGACCAGTGCAGTCATATTTTCAGTTGGATATAAAAATTGCAGGGCAGTCTTCCTTTCTGGGCGAAAGTTCAGGCTTTCATTTCTTCCTTTTCTATCAACATCAATCTTTACTCACCTGTTTTTCCAGGCTAAAACTAGCTTAATTTTAGTCTTCTGTGTCTTAGTGACATCACTAAACAATCAATCCACAAAAAATAAGTACAAGCATTCACTGTGACTTATTTTTCAGATTACATCAGTGCACTTCAATCACTCCATCCGGGGCACCAGCGGCAGTATAATATTGATGGAGTCTTGCATGTAAATAGGTTATTTCCTTTAGGAATATTTCAAAATTAAACCTGTTACTTTGTAACATTACTTTCTATTATTCGTTGGCAACCGACTGCGCTAGGGATGTAATCTCCTTTGGGCAATTTTGGCTTCTAAAAGTAGGTGCCTAGAGTTGCTCCCCTGAGAAAATGGGCCTGGCTTTGTGAGCAGTTGTTTGTTAATTAACTAAGCCATGCAGTTTAATGTCTGCCAGTAACTGTTGCTCCCATTGATTTTGGGCTGGTGTTGTTGTACGGGTAACGTTCCATATTTTTTCAGGAACCCAAGTGCAGCACTTCAGACTTGACATCTTGGCCCAGTTAGGGCCCTCTGTTTGTAGAAGAGGGCAGGCTTGCTCAGCCCTTGTCGTGAGGTCTAGTCATGCCTTTCTAAGGTAACTGCTTGCATCTGAAAAAGCCTGCTTGAGGTTAGTAGCCCCTCGATAGTGCAGCTTGGGCAAGCCAGTTGCCATTGCCAGTGGACAGTGCAATGCAGATAGCATCATCTAGCAAACTGTGACTCCCAGCCCACATGCCCAGACTCTTATTTATACACTTTTGTGGGTGCCTTCACACAAGGAAAAGCAAGGCTTGAATTTGCAGCCCTGGCATAGAGTCAAGAGGCTTGATTTTTTTAATTTTTTTTTTCCCTCTGCCACCATGCAACCCTTGTACGTGGTCTGACCGTATAAAGCACGTGGCTTGCTTATTTATTTGTAATTGGGGTGAGCAGCCACTGTCCCTGCCTGCGTGCCTTCTCAGACTGCAACCCGCTAGCTCCTCCAGTGTACTCCTGGCTCTAGCAGAGTTCACGTCTTGAACCTGCAATGCAAAGCCAGGGCTAAGTCTGCAAAACGCTTGCTTGTTGAAAACCTGTCTTTATGGCAGAGAGTAGGTTTTACCATCCCAGCCTGCAGCCTGGGAAGCCTCCATGCTTTTTCAAATGGTGCAAGCCTTTCAGAGGTTGAAGACCTGCCAGCTGATCATGCACTCAGTGCCTCTCTGTCTCCTTCGAGGCACATAATTGAATCTATGTAGGAGATCAGCATTTTGAAACAGTTATTCATATGCGATT